TACAATATCAAAGTATTGGAACTTGTATTTCAAACTCAGTTATATTATATTTTACGTTGATCAAAAGATTTTTATTCACGATGGCATTTGGGAAGTCTTTAGTTTAATAAAAAAATTGTACTGAACTAAATGATTAGATTTGTTGTTAATAAAATAAAAACGATAAATCTATCAAATCCTTCAATAATGTAATAGTAGTTGCAGTTCATATGGACGAATGCAGTACCCAGTGATTGCCACTCAACTCTTCAAAGACTGACAATACATGACTAGCTACATTTCATAATTGGTTTCCACGATAGATCTGCACACTTCTTTGTCAACTGCGAATGAAATCCTTTATAGAATTTCATGGGTTCTGTGATAATTTCGTTGGTAAAATATTATTACCTCCAAAATATTTGAGTACAATAGAATAGAATAAAATAGAATTTTTAAAACATTGTAATATATAAAACTAACTTCAAGTAAATATTTTATTATTTCAGGTGAAGTTTCTAATTTATCAGAGTGAAATAGAACAAAGTTATATGCATGTTATTTAATTCATAAAACATTTCTGTACGTGAGTGTACTTAAATGTTTTATAAATATGATGTAGCTCCGGGTAGGGAAAACTAGTAAAAGGTCAAGAAATCTTATTTTTTAGTGTTCTGACTACAAAAGAACAAAATAAGGGATAATCCCTCGGAAATAATAAGTTTTACATACAACCCTTTGAGTGGAAACTTTGATGAAACTTCTGTTTTAGTTTGTTATACATAAATTGATTGCCTTCGTTTAGTTCGTAGTAATAGTTAAAAAATAACGATATTATAGTTAGTTCAAATTGAGTATGACAATTTTCAGATTTATATTCCTTTTATGAAAAAAATAGTCACCCTTAAATTACTCTTAAATTTACTGTTTCTTTATATATTCAATGTCATCCAATACATGAAGATTGTCAGAGAGAACTTAAAAGAAATACTCTGGATGTCACCATTGCTTATGATTTCGATAAAAGATATGCAGAGGTCGACTGTTTGAACAGGACCGTGCCTTTGCGATAGTTCTCATCGTATTTGTGGGGAATCGTATTCGTATGCAAATATCCACGATATTTCAATTTTACCTCAAGAATATAAATTCCCTGAATATTGTCACAAAGGATCGTGCTATTTTTCGTAAAGATAAAAATAATAGCGCGAGAACGTTTTGATAACGAGAGAGGTGACTATACTTTTTTTAACAGAATATTTATACTACAATTTAAAAAGAGTATCCAAGATTATATTTCAGAATTTATTAACTTTATATTTTATAAAATCCATGTTACCAAGTTCTTATTATAATAATTTTAACTTTTGTTAGTACACAACAAAAACTTTATTCAAATTCAATATATTATTCCCTTTGGTCGCGTCCTTTGTTTAGGCATTAAACTTCAGAAGAAAACAAAGGATTGATTGTTGGTTCTTTGTTATAAGAACAATAAGCAATACTTAGCTAATAAATTTTATATCAAAACTTAAAACATCATTTTGTTAATATAAATTTTGTTATTATAAATATATTTTAGGTTGATAATCTACAATGTACAATAGATTCTACATCATTAACATCAGTAATGTTTTTTTTTTCTATCAACATTTTGATCAATATTTTTGTTTAAAATTCTTTATATTTCAAACATATTTCTTTGTTACTGTAAAATATATTGAGAAAAACTTGATATAGTAGGCGTCAGTTTGTTTCAGTAATATTTTAGTAACTTGGAAATGTTTCCAACAAACTATGAGTTATTTTAAAACAAACAAAGCTTAATTCTTAGTTAGATTTACACAACGGTAATATTCAATTTCCTAAAAGCAGTACTTCATTAGTTTTTCTTTGACGCGACCCGTATTTTGTATTGTTTGCATTTCGCTTTGAGTCTGCTTTTAACCTCAGGGTAATGTGACCCCTTTCGTTTTTGTTTAGCAATTTTTTGCGACCTTTTAGGTTGAAACTAGAACGCCGGTTGACGTCTAGAAAAGATTGTTGAGCCTTTGTTGTCTAGAGTCACTATCTTGGAAATATATTTTTCAAACAATCGCTTCTATTATTATTTGATTGCATTCTCTTTTGTCGTCTAATTTGAGTGGAATAAAAAATATAATATTTAATTATAAAACTAAGAACAGATTGGTACAGAAATATGGTTAAAACATTATTCAAGTCGTTTTAGCAAGTTTATTTAGATTAAGAAATTCATTTACAGGAACATTTGCACATCATGATAATAATAAAGCTTAAATAAAAGAACTTTTCTTGTATGTGTGATTGAATTTGTTTTGATAAAAACTCATCATGTATCCTTAAAACAATTGATTTGTGGGTCTAGGCGTCAAGAAAATCCCTCATTCCATCCAAATATCCGGCAAACTGGCAAATACCATATCTCTCCATAAGCTATGGCGTATAGAAGCGGAATAACGCATTTACTTATTTCCCTATGGGGTCTCCCAAACCTAACTTGGTAAACTTGCAAAAACTTTATTTCTGCTATATTTTGACTTGGTAATTGGATATTAAGGTTTTATTTACTATAAATGTTTCAGTTTATATCATATTAACCTTATATTAACACACAAAAGCAATTTATAAAAGTAAAAATGGAAAAACTTCAAAGTTTAAACAAAAATAATAGTGGTATTCGAAAATTCGTGAAATCTTTTTGTTCGGGGAAAAATGTTTTACGTTTCAAAATTTACTTAAATGCTTAAATTTCTGTTAAAATATAATGGACCATTTATTTAGAATAAACTGGGACAAGTAAACAGAGGATGTTATAAGATTAAACAATAAAAGGCTGTTAATTAAAACTAGAATATTGGAAGCAACGAAGTAAGGCGGCGAGATTACTTAAAGCAGTGTATACATTCATTGTTGCTGTTTATTCCACTAAAACGAGAAGAAATTAAGTAACAGTATTAAAATAATTAAAATATATATAAATGAAATTTTTGTATATGTATACATAGCTTTATTTTATTTTATTAGTAACCTGCTCAAATTATATATTTTAATTTGAGTAAATATGCCCGTATTCTTAAAATCTTTTATAGTAGATGATTGTGAGGGATTTCTATTATATAATAAATATGTATACGCTAAGAAAAATAAAGATAGATATTATATATTTTTATATTTTTTACTCCTATTACTTTGTATTAAATTCTAGAAAAATGCTAGCCTATTTTATTTATTTAATATGACTAAATTAGATCTTTGTAAGACGACTCAGTCCTTTTATCTAGATTCCGTGAGACAAAAGTATATTCTTTTACTTTTTAAGATATGCTTACTTTAACATGAAAATAAAAATGTTCTTAGTGACTTAGTTTGTTAGTGTCATTAAAATACAAGTAAATATTATGTGATTATGATCTATGTACATATATGGGTGGTAATTTTTTATGGAAAAAAAGGTCTTAATGGTTACTGTAATGGATAATGGAAAAACATTACAATTAAGTACATTTACTCATAAAGCATTCCTGAAAAATAACCGTTAATTTATTAAGTACAGTTTTTTAATTGAGAAAGCAAGTACTGACTTGTTAAAAGTAGAAAACTTATTAAGCGTTGAAGAAAAGTTTTGTGTGCATAAATATTTCATTTGCCAGTTAGATTTGAATTTGATTTCTTTTAAGGGATTTAGGTCATGAGTGCTGTTAAACAATATAATATAAGCATCATACAAAAATATTGTCTTTATTTATGAAATGTTAATTAAAGTATTGAAATAAATATACCTTAATCCACAATAATATGTACATATAAGAGATCTACGTTAATTGTCCAAGGAAAACTCTTGTAAACAGAAGGAAATAAGACAAAATATTCTTTAAGCATTTTGTATTTAATCAAAGATTTCCTTATATGTATGTAGTTCATCGAAAAAAAGTAATTGGAGCAAAAATAATAATGAGATTGTTATAAAAAATAATTATCAATTTAAGATTTTTAAACAATTTAATATATTTAAAAACATAACATGAAATAAAAAACTTCTATAAAGCAATTGCAGTACAAAGCGTTGTATTTCTACGCAATATGTTCACGCCCAAAATAAAAGTAAACTGAAATTCCAACCGATATTTATCTCTGCAATTCAGGCTGAAATTTAACCACACTAGTATAGCGGATAACACTGAAACTTAATCAACGCATACAGTAAATACAGAATAGGCTCGTTTATTTTAATTAGGGTAATTGATTGATTAGATAGCTGGCTCTACAGTTATAAAACAAGGTAAACAAGTCATTGAAATATTATACACTGAGCAATTACTTTAATAATAAGTTAAAAACTCCTCAAATCAATTTCTTTTGATATAAGCAGGATATAGTACAAATATATCAGTATTTATTGTATGATATAAAATTGAAGGTGTATTAAAGAATTTAAATGAAATATTTATTACATAATAATTTCCAAAAAAAACATGTCACTCGTAAATGCAACGCAAAAATAATTATTAATTATATAGATTCTTTATTTATTGGTAGCAACATTATATTTTCCTTCTTTAATAATTGTAAATGTCATTGTTATTACATTTAAAACATAAATAAATATAATATTTCATGAAAAAGTATAGTTTCATTATCTCTTCATTTTTAATGATCAAATAATATTTTGATTTAAGCCAATTTTGTTATCAGTTATTAGTTATTAAGTGTGTTATATTATTATTTGTTATATTTATACTAAAACATATACGTACATATATTCTAATAGGCGTCTTATATTTATAAGATTAACACTTCTAAATCTATTCTATTAAGAGTAATCCTAGGAAGAGATCTTCCGTTTTACAAACAGATTCAAGATTGCTTTACATCCGAACTACAGGAGGTAGATCAGTAATCAGATTCTTATATAGTAGTTCTACCATAAAATAATGAACCAACAATCTCGAATGTATTTCTTTTAATTCATTGGAATTAAATAAATAAAGTTTTATAAATACCTGGAACTGTCCTCTCGCGAAGCATGTGAGAATAGTCCCGGTGTCGTTTGTGAACTCCACGTGATGAGGAGGCTCTGTGATGGTGAACCTGTGAGGTTCTGGTGTTGCACCAACTGCTGAAAAAGATACTCACTTATTGATGCTGCTTTAATATCAAAAAAACAGTCCATTGTTTCATAATATTTCATGCAAATAACGGCTATTTTACAATAGACAGAAGGCTGGTTTTCGTATCAAATAATTATGCTGATAGGTTCTAAGTATGTCAAGTAGAGAAACAAATTTTATTAAAAAAACAGGTCAAGGCTTTACTTAAGTTTCTTGATAGTTATTTGGATCCTGAGGGAGACGTTTGAAAAGAATAGGGGAGAGCGGGTCGTCAGGGTCTAATAGCACTTACAACACCCAAACTACATCTAACTTGCCATAAAATGCTTAACAAATAGTTATATCGGGTGTTATACGCTTTGGCCGATCATGATACTTTGGAACTTAGTTTTATTGCTATATATAAAAAATGAAAATTCGTAATCCAAATCTCGAAGATTTATACATAATAAACGAATATTTTACCTTGGAGCTAATATATTACTTATCACAATTCTATCGAAGTTTGATTTTGTTATCTCTAAGGAAATTTTATCAACGATTTAATCTGCTATTATTTATAATAATTAATTGGTGATATTACCGACCACTCATCGGAATTAAACTATAATCAGTAAAAGAATAAAGCATACGTCGGAGTTTACTCCAAAATTTAAACTTTAAATTTAACATTATTACTGTACTTCAAAGCGGTTAATTTATGAAATGTTGAATAATGATGAGAACAGTACAAAAATACGAGTATGACAATTTATACATTACTTTGTATTAACTTTTATCCCATTCTCGAATTGTTAGCCTTGGTACTTGTAAGATTTGTATAGTATATTCTGCTTGTGTCACGTAGTACATTCTCTTAACGTAAACTTAATTGCTAGAAATTGCGCGACCACATAAAAAGTAGTTTATTCCAAATAGTTGAAAAAAAAACACATCAATTAAGTTCGGCGATACTAGCTCTTTTGATTTTCAAATGTATTAGTAACACAAAATATAAACTGGCGTTTTGATATATAATGTATGTATAATATAATAATTCTTGACTTTTACAAAAATATCTACATCAATAGAATCATACCGATGGAATGTCGGGCTGCAATCTAGTTATGGAAGCCTCCGCAAGCCGCAGCTTTCCATTTCCGTTTAATTTCGCTACTAGGATTGCTGTACTTCATGTAGCTACTCAGGTTTTAACACATAATTGGTTAATTTAACCGTGACTGTTATTAATATAATGAATAATATTCTTGAAATAAATTTATTTATGTAATTCTCGTCTTTAAATGTTGGTCTGTCATTAAATTTTCGATAACTATATGTCAAAAACTAAGTTTAGGGACTCGCGTAAATTAAAATATATGTATTTATTAAATGAGAAAATATTAGTATTTAGTTATATTTAGCAATTGAGTAAAAAAGTATTTCATTTATGAAGACATGATTCACTGGCATTGAGAAAATATTCCGATCTTCCATATTAATACCGTATTATTGTTATGGGAAAGTATTATTAAAAGAGTAAGCAATTAGGATATATGTATTTTGATGCAATATAGTCTTTATGTCTGTTTAAATAAAGTCCTAGTATAGTTTGATTCTACCGTCAGTAGATATTCCAATCTCTCAGAAGCCTGATTGCCCCCTTTCAACCCTGTGTTGCGACGTAAAGCCGCTTTAATGTTCTTTTTTTTTATAAACTTTTTTAAATTTTAAATTGCAAATAGTCTAGTAGAGAGAGATCTACTGGGCTGTTATTGAGAAGTATAAAATTTTATGTTAAATAATAAAAATTAAATATAATATACATACATACTTCGAAAGTAACGAGAAGTTACTGTTATTATATAGGAATTCTAAAATTCTTTGTTCTGTTAATAAAAAACCAAATTTGTAATCAAAAAGTACGTAATTTAAAACTAAAATTCGACAAAGATAATAAACATTATAAATAATTGACACTTGAAAAGAAAGGTGATAACAAAACGTTGAAGATAAGGAAAAACTCACTTGGAATATAGATAAACAAAGTATATAAGAAATATTCAAAGACAAAAGAAATCTGAGATATTTAATAATTTGTAAATTTAATTTAAGTCGTTACACATAAGGTCTAGAAAATGTCTGAAAGATGAACATTATGCGTACGTACGGATTTAAAACTACTCGTAATTTTACCTTTTGATGTGAAGTTCAACATTTACTCAACTTTTACGGAACATATATACGCATACATTTCCGTCGGGGCTTACCTTAAAAAATATCTGACTCGATTCTGGGGCAGGACGTAAATATCTTTTCAGGGAGGCTGAAATGGCGGCGCGGATCGCTCATTAGCGGAGCGGGACAATAGCGTACTGTACAATACCGCGTAAATAATCATAGAAAAACAATGAGTACTGAGATTGCACTGCTTAATAAGCAATACTGTAGTTGATGTTTATAAAATATGCATATTTTGGAAAGTAATTTGAGATATCAAATAATATAGATAATTCAGAATCTTGCAAAAGAACTGGGAGCAACAAGAAAAATAATTACTATAATATACAGCAGCTTCAATGTATTTCATTGCTTATATTTTCTTAGTTTTTAAATTAAATTTGATTAATAACTAACTAACTAACTATTCATTAATTTTATGCATTCAATTGTACCTATTTAAGCAGTTTGAGAAAATTGTTATTATATTTTACAGTCATCATTAGATCGTATGTTTTTTGGTAAAATATGTATCATAGAAAAATAAACATCACAATTGTTTCACGATCGCAAAGCTAAGCAACAGTACATATTTTATTATTAAATTCCCCATTTGTAAATATACATTCTTTAAAACCCTACGTAAATTAAAAGGTAAATAAAGTTAATTAGTATGGCCATAAAATACGCTTTACTAAGTCTAAACGATAACAAATGGCTGTAATAACGTCGGAATCGATAATTCTTAAAAGAAAATTCCAGTTAATTGGTGATTTACATAAAAAATGGGTTTATAGAAAGTACAACACATTTTTTTAAGGGTACTGAGTTTTAACCTTGAAAACAATGGTATTGTAAGTGTTAGTTAATAACTTTTTATATGTAAGGAACTAAAAATGACTGAATTGAACAAAAATCCTCAAGACCTAATCAACACTCCAACAATACTTCAACAGCAAGTTTCATTCAGTCCAAACTTCTTTGTGGTGGCCAAAAAATAAAAAGCATCAAATTTTTTTATGCACTCCGCGAATTCGAGTCCTGATTTTATTTTATTTGCACAAGAGACTTTTAAAGTAAATTCTAATATTCCGTAATGGTTACCTAGATTTTGGTATTAACATTTTGAAGTTGATTTCTAGTATAATTTTTTTTTCTTTTGTTTCTCGAAACCAGAAAAGAAATTTTGTAATATAAGACAACAAAAGTACATTCAATAAAGTTAGCTATCAATGATTGATACAAATTCCAGAACATAATTGAACATTATAAGGGTTTCTGGAATTTGCCACCGAGATCGGACAACCAGATCTAATCTGCACTTACAGCTAGGGTGTAATTGAAAAGCGACTATCGTTTTTTCGTTTATTGAATACATAGATGTTTACGTTCCTATTATTATAACATTGACATTGAAAGAATTACTGTAGGTGGAATTTTTATTGATAGATTTATTTGAATTATTACAACCTTATCAAAATGTAATTAAATTTCTAAATGTACATTATTTTAATGTCAACTGTCAATAACACTGAAAGCTAAAAAATTTTAATAAGTAACGTCAATAAATGTCTGTTTAAAATTAAACAATTTATCTCTACGTAATTGCTTATTTAAAACAATATATTTTAAAAAGATTATCTAATATTCTTGAAAATAAGGAAACTTATATTAAAATAAATTTTCAAAGATTATATTTGATAAAAATAGTATGTACAAATATTCTTCAGTCATAGGACATAGTCGAGGATTTGTAAGATTAATCCGTCTAGCTGCCATTGAATTTCGACAGCTTGATCTTATCAGAGCTCGCAGCTGGATTCCCGGCAGTCGTTAAGTAGATTAAAAAACTACTTCTAGAATATTTTAAAACTTATAAAATATTCCACAGGGAAATTGAAATTTGAGTGCATGTATAAAAGTAACGTGGATAAAAAAAAATCTGTTATTGTTCTTGTGGATTGTTTTCAAACATTAATTTTAAAGGTTCAAATAAAAATTACAAATAGCATTAAGGAGTTTTTTTTAAACATAAATATGAAATGTTCGGATCCAAAAAAGAAATTCAATATCCAAGCAGTCATATAAGAGTTCTTGGCACAGACACCTTATTATTACTTTTATATTTAACTGACGACAACTTCTTACACATTATATTTTAAATTTTTGTTCGTTTTTGATAAATAGTCATAATGTTTACTGAAAATTGCAGATGTCATATGTGCTAACTTTTGAGTACACTTACATAGCATTTAGGAAATACATATGTTAGGCATGATATTTATTATCTCATTTAATAAAATATTATTAGAAAGAAATCGTATACACAAGGGAAGTTAATTAGGCGATATTGCAATCTCTCTCATTGTGGGATTTATGTAGAATTTTGTTTTTAATTCAGTTTATTAATTAAATAAATACTTCTTATGAATTAACGCTCATTTTCTCCTCTCTTTGTTTCCCATATACAATATAGTCGTATATAATACATAAATAACATTGTGTTTAGAGTTATACCAAACAAACGCAATCTTCAAAGCGTTGTGGTTTTGCTATTTACTTATATAATAAGATGCTCAGATCAACAAATTAGTTTTGAGAGAACGATGTTTGTAATATTTCATTAAACGTACTTGAAACTAATCACATAAATTAACCTCAAGTCTAAAGTTTATTTTCAAGTTGCTGTTTAAATACATTACTGGGTTTGACATGACGTTACAGGTCTCAGATTAGTAAATTGTTTTTTGACATAGATTTTACGGAATTAGTATTTGATAGAGCAACAGCAATATTGTACATACGAATAGTTATGCTTTAATCGCGTTCCATGGAAAATACAGGAAGAGTTTTTCTAGCGTGATTATATAGATTTTATCAGAAAATATGATAACCAAAACCGCGTGAGAGTCTTATGGATTCATCTTATTATCGCTGTTTTACAAAATGTGTCGATATCATGAAATGCAGTGGTTTGGATGACATTTTTGTTATTACACTAAATACATATTCATTAGTTTTCATCTGTTCCAAAAGCAGAAATTCTTTTTAACACTAAGGCTACCATTCTATTTCAAGTCGTTGCAGGAGTTTTCATCAGGA